TTTGATTAAAAAATGCTAACCATCATCTGAGCCTTCAGTGAGTTGTAATTTTTTGCAAGAGTAACAAAAATCGCTGATCACAGGTTACCATAACAAAGTTAATAATAATGCAAAAGTTTGAAATAAGACAAGAATTGCCGAAATGTGACATAGAGGCATGAAGTGAGCAGATGTTGTTGGAAAAATGGCACCAATAGACTTGCTTGATGCAGGGTTGCCACAAACCTTCAATTTGTATAAAAGGCAGTAGCTGAGAAGCACAATAAAGTAAAGCACAGTAAAACAAGGTACGCCCGTACCAAGCTAAAAGTCCCAGGAACAGAGCTGGAGTACAAATGATGAATTCAGTATCACAAATGTTGAGTTTCAAGTGTTCTGGGATATCCAGATAGAAATGTCCAGCTAGTAGTTGGATATATGGGTCTGAACTGGAAAGAGAGGAGTCTATGGGCCAGATTGCTGGATCTGGGGAGTCTTCAATTGGTAGGTGGTGATTGACATGGATTAAGACTTCCCAGGGAGTGTGTGTGAAGAGTTAAGAATTAATTCTTATCAGGAAGACTAGATGGAAAAGTACAGTTTCAGGAAGGGGGGGAGGGGAACCATGAAAATGCAGAGGGCATTTGCATATTCAGAGAATAATTAGAAGTTGTGCATGGATGTGGCCTGTGATGGAGCTTGGGATGAAGGTAGAGAAAGGGGAGGGGAGGAGCGGAAACACAAGACAGAGAAAGTACATGTGGGGACAGATTGTGCAAGGTCTTGATGCCTTCCCCTGGCAGTAGCAGTGCACAGGTGAAGAAACATGCCTTCCATTTTACTGTGCCCCCTCTGATTTTCAGGAAACTTCAGAAGGGTTACCATAGCTCTGACCCCTTTCTAGGTTTCTTAACATAGATCACCATGCTAGGTATCACATAGACCTCCATCCTGGCCACTGTGAATTGCATGAAAGACCTGTGTGGTAGCCTGGCATTAGAATTTTGTGTAAAAGGGATGAGAATGAGAGGTTAAGCCATTGAGATTTTCTCTCTTGAAAACTGAATGTCAGAGTCAAGAATGCCTATTAGGACCAAAGAATAGACAAAAGCACATGTCAGGGAAGTCAGGGGTCAGCATAAGCCGTGAATAAACAGTCATGAGTAAGCAGAAGTAATGAACATTCAGAAACTCTGAGTGAGCAAAAGCTGTGAATCATACAGGTGGCCAATAGACGCATGAAAAGATGCTCAACATCGCTAATTATTAGAGAAATGCAAATCAAAACTGCAATGACATGTCACCTCATGCCAGTCAGAATGGCCATCATTAAAAAGTCTAAAATTAATAAATGGAGAGAGTGTGGAGAAAAGGGAACCCTCCTACGCTGTTGGTGGGAATGTAAGTTTGTGCAGCCACTATGGAGAACAGTATGGAGGTTCCTTAAAAAACTAAAAATAGAGTTACCATATGATCCAGCAATCCCACTCCTGGACATATATCCAGAGAAAACTCTAATCCAGAAAGACACATGCACTCCAATGCTCATATCAGTCATAAAAATAATGAAACATTTCAATTTGCAGCAACATGGATGGACCTAGAGAATATCATACTAAATGAAATAAGTCAGACAGAGAAAGACAAATATTACATGATATCCCTTATATGTGGAATCTAAAATATGATACAAACGAACTTATTTACAAAACAGAAACAGACTCATAGACATAGAAAACAAACTTAATGGTTACCAAAGTGGAAATGGGGTGGGGAGATGGAGGGATAAATTAGGAGTTTTGGATTAACAGGTACAAACTACTATATATAAAATAAAGAACAAGGTCCTACTGTATAGCGCAGGGAACTATATTCAATATCTTGTAATAAACCTAATGAAAAAGAATATATATGTGTATGCATGTATATAACTGAGTCACTTTGCTGTACACCACAAATTAACACAACATTGTAAATCAACTAAACTTCAAAAAAGAAAAATGTTATGAATCAGTAGGAGTTATAAGCAAGTGAAAGTCACAGCATAGAGAGTAGAGGAAAGTCAGTTTAGAACAAGAGCAGTAAGAATGTAGGCAGGAAGACTAGAAGAAAAGAAGGTCTACCAGATAGCTATTACTAGAACTGCTGTGTATCCAGAACTATTTCAGGTCACAGACTGTGTTCAGGTCTCCATGAGGCCCAGTCTGAGTGGTGTGTATTCTGACATGTATATGTCTAATTCCCCATCGGTTAAGGTAAACCGAATGAGGCCTGGTATCTCTCAACTCCTCTGTACTCTTTTCTCTCTGTTACTTTATCCCGGACTTCTCAGCTTGCTTATCCCCCGTTTGGCCCCAAATAGTGGTCTTAGCACATGAGTCTAAATGACCTTACAACTCAGCTCCCCATAGCTAGTTTTCTCTGTCTTTCTGTGTTCCAACTGCATATTTCTAGGAGAAGACTCTGACTCAGTTCATCTTTTTTAACCAGGTCACAAACATTAGAGGGGCTGAGTTGGCTAGTTCTTTGGTTCATTTGGGGCATTAGAAATTGGAGCATTAACTCATCTAGGCAGGACGTGGAATACCTCTGGATGTCTTAGCTCCAGAACTGTTCAAGTTCCATAATGAATTCTCCATCACCACATGGGTGATGGAGCTCTATGATGAGCTCTATGATGAGCTCAGGTGCTCACAGGCTGGACTTTGAAGTGCCAGACTACTGGACACAGGGAGAAGATTCCCAAAGTAGAGCCCAGTGAAAGTCAGCCTGGGTGGGGTTGGGGTATAATTCTGTAAATCCAACCTTAAGAAGAGGGAGGAAGAAGTTGGAGGATGAGGTTTAAGGAGAGAACATTCAGGCTTTAAGGTCTTAGCTGTTAATATTGTCACTCCTGGGGAGGCATGAGGCAGGGATGTCCCAGAAAGTTCTGATAATTACAAAGAGAACTGCTGGCAAACTTTAAACTGGTAGGTGGTATAGACAGCACCTCTTCCTTTCCACTAATTTCCACTGCTTCTATCAACAAAAGTCTGACTGAACGTGATCTCAGCTCCTAACTCACTCCACATCAAAAAAAGAAACTATTGACAGCATTCTGTGTCATGCCTTTCTCTCCTCCAGAGGAGTTGAGCCGCAGACCTGGAAATCCTAGTTTTGTCCTCCAACTCAAGCCAAGTAGGGTCGGCCTCTGCAACTTCTGATCCCTGAGGTCCTGCTTTCTCCCATTGGCCCAGAATCTTCAGCCAGCCCACTCTGGGGGCTGTCTATACATCTTCCTCCATGAAGTAGAGCGAGGTCCAGAAAAGATAATTCATTTATTCCTTCATGCAGGAAAAATGCACCTGTTATGTGTCAAGCATGCTGTTAGGTAGTGAGGATACAACAGTGATCAAGACAGACTGGAACACCATTTTCAAGGAGCTTAAAGTCTAATGGGGAAGGGACTTCCCTGGTTGTCCAGTGGTAAAGAATCCACCTTCCAATGCAGGGAACACGGGTTCGATCCCTGGTTGGGGAACTAAGATCCCACATGCTGCAGGGCAACTAAGCCCGCGCACCACAATTACTGAGCTCGCGTGCCTCAATGAGAGAGCCTATGTACCACAAACTACAGAGCCCACACGCCCTGGAGCCCGTACGCCACAACTAGAGAGAAGCCTGCACACCGCAACTAGAGAGAAACCCAAGCAGATGGTGGGCTGTAACAAAAAGATCCCGCATGCCTCAACAAAGATCCTGTGTGCTGCAACTAAGACCTGATGCAGCCAAAAAAAAAAAATAAGGAAAATAAATACATAAAATAAATAAATATTAAAAAAAAAGAAAGTCATCACACTTGCCTGCTACGTGTATTAAAAAAAAGTCTAATGGGGGAGACAAGCATTAAATAATTATAAGAGTGACAAATACATCTATTCTAGATCCAGCATTCAGTGGTACATGTAACAAAGTGGTCCAAGAGAGGTGGGCAGGGAAGAGGGAGGAGATGGGGGCTATGGTAGCTCTGCCACCCAATCCCCCAAAAGTTCTAGCTTAATACCAGGTGGATGCTTCACTGCATCCATCTTCTCAGCAGTTGCAGCTCAAGGCACAGCTTTCAAATATGTCTTGTAGATCCCTTTTCAATGCCCATATCATGTAAATTCTCCTGTTACCCATTTGAGTTTGCCATCTGTTTCCTGCCCAAACCATGATTGATATAGGTCATTATGAAAATACTATTAGCAGAAGTGAGCAGGGTTAAGGAAAAAAAATAATAAAGTTGGGGCATCCAGATTTAGCAACTGCAAGAAATCATCATCATTCCTAGGCCTGAGAGAGCAGGGGAAGGAAAACATGTAACCATAGCCTGGTGGAGAGCTGAAGCCATGGAAGAGAGGACACCCTTCAAAAACTGTCACATCAAGACCCAGCCAGTGTCAGAACTGTGGCAGGAAGGTAATAGGAGGAATAAATACTTCAATTTCAATGTGTGTGTGTGTGTGTGTGTGTGTGTGTGTGTGTGTGTGTGTGTGTTCTCTTCTCCAGTCTTCCATTGGCTAAACACAATCTAAAGCCAACCCCAACCAGCACTCAGGTGATCAACTCAAGAGAGATCATCCTTCTGGGGTCCAGGACCAAAAGGAAAAAAGGCTGATTTAGAGAGTCAAACAAAAAATAACCAGCTAATCACACCTCACTGTCAAGAACACTTTAAAAAGAGAGTAGATAGATTTTAAAATTTATTACATAGAGTCTGTGTTATTTTGGTAATATGAGTTTTTAAGGTAGGGCAGAGAGCCCCAATATACCGTGGTGCATGAGCCTTCACAGTACTATTTGCCGTGGGTTGCCAGAGGTTCAACCTGCCTGATCGGGCAACATGAGAACCTCAGAGCACAACCCATTGTGATGAATCATGGATTGTTTCTGAGGTTCTAGAATCCCAGACTGTGGCTCAGCACTGGGGCTTCTGCTCATAGTTTTTTTCACGGCTCTTGGGTGCCCCACACCAGGGTGCCCTCTCTCCCAAAATCCAGATGAAGAAATGTCTTCTACTAGTGAGTCTGTATCTGCTTGGATCTGCCAGAGGTAAGTCCTCTTGTCTTGACTCTGGGTGGACATGTAGGAGGCACCTTTAAGGCATTTCAGCCCTTGAAGAAGGAAGGCCAGTATCTTAGTTACCCAAAACCAGTCTAACTCAGAATTAGGAGTAGCTGGACAAGTTCAACTCTGAGAGCTACTGAACCGGTGGTGGGTTCCTCCTAGTTATGGCTTCACCATCAGAGACTGGCTTAGCACAGTCTCGTTCCTAATACTTTCAGCCACTTGACATTGTATCTGATGCTCTGTGAAATGAGATTGGTCTAGGGGCTCTGCGGAGGTCCAGTGAAGGTTTGCCCCCGTGAACTGAGTGTAGGGGGATCCTTGTGTAGTTAATGTAGAAGGAGAGACATGAGGAGCTGGGAGTGTGTTATGCCTGGAAAGTCATCCGAGAACACAGCATGGCTCTGGGCCAGAGACCTTACAAGCCACTCTTTCATTGGTCTATCCATCCAGTGGTATTTCCTCTTTCAGGACCCCCATTCAGGGTGGGCTCCATTCCCTTCTTCCTCCTACAGGAGAAGTGAGAGGCCATGAGCTCTGAGCTGTCTATTAAATGACAAAGTGTTTTCTGTAACGTCAGTTCTCAGAGATTTTGTCTTTTGCTTTCTTAGACTTCCAAAAGTTGACTCAGAAACGTAGCTACATAGCTACCAGATGGTAGTATGTGATAGCCACTTGGTGAGGCAGCGAGTCATAAACTATAAGCATGACAAAGAAATTAGTGTGCTTTTTCAAGCCTCCCTTCCATATCAGAAATTTCTTTATTAAAACTTCTGGTAACTTTTGAAGGATCAGTCAAGCAGATGATATTTCTGTAACAACTTTTTAAAATTAAAAATTCCTTAAAGCCTTAGTAAATCTTATCTTTCCTTTATCAACATATTCTAATGCTAGCCTTTTGAAAGTTATTGATTGTAAGGTCTTCAAATCACTCAGAATACACACACACACACACACACACACACACACACATATATATTTGCAGGATTCTTACAGAGCTAGAGTATTTTGGGGACTTAGGCCTCAAAGATCCTGTAATTCAGCTTTTGGCTAGGATTAATAACTTAGTCATTATAGTCTACTCACTGCCCTTCTCTAGGTTACTCAGTCTAAATCAGTTACTCAGTCAAAGAGTAATAATTTTTTTTAAAAAGTAATAATCAAATTGTCTGCTTGGTGCTACACTTAATAAAATGAAAGTTGTACTTAAGGATATTTGTCTGGCAGCCACTAATAAGCTGGATTAAATGTAGAAGACAGTGGTCAGAACAGAACGACCAGCTAAGAGTTTTGTAATTTCAAATGCAAGGTCAGGAGGATGGAAAACTAAAATTAGCTGAGCACTTGAGCAACGGACTAGGCACTTCAGAGTTTATCTTATTGAATACTCATGACAACTCCATAAAGTAGGTGTAAATGATATGTCACAAGGAATCTCAATTCAGGGATATAGAAGCAAAGGTTGTTTTTATCTTAATAATTAACAGCAACTTGGCTTTGTGTCCCCAACTCACATGGATTGGGTTTGAGTGTGTGAAAGAACATGAACTTGCAAAGTAAAGGTGTCTTAGTCCCTTCTGGTAATTTTTGTGGGTTCATTAGATATTTGTCATCTCTAGTTTAAAATTTATCTTGTCCAAAGTTAAAAATCTTCCACCCTCAGTTTCAGCTAGAATTACTCAGCTACTGAAACAATTTGCTTTCTCTCCCTCTTGTATCTCCATTCTTACCTTTCATCCACAGGGGAACTGGAGGGAGGCTAGTGGTGGACTTCTGATTACATGAATGATGGGACATTGATTTCCTGATGTTGGCTCTGTCAGGGAGGCACAGTGCTTTTGGTGCCGGGTGAGGAGGCCCCCATGTGCCCACTCAGGGTACACAGATCCACACAAATATTGTGGATCTTAAAATTCTTCCCTTCAATCACAGAGGTGGTCTCTGTGTTTCCTTAACACCCCTGTCCTTCATGGTGTCCCAGGTAATTGGTTGACTGCATCCAACATCTGCAGTATCTTCAGGTGCTTGACCTAGGCCCCCAGAAACCTAGGAACCCCACAACATTAGCCTTGCTCCATAGGAAAGAACTCTTTATCCAGATGTCCTCCCTCACCTTTACCATCTCTGTTCTGTTATTTCTCCATCCCAGGAGCATCAGGTCAATCTGATGAGCTTCCTGGCTCTATGGATCATCAAGCTTCAGTTCAGCAACCTTCAGGTGCTACTTTTCACTTGCAAACCCTTCAGATGGTGAGGCTTTATATGAGACTTCTTCAGGTGAGAACACTTTGAGTGAGCATATGGTTCAAGTGAGCACACTGAGGTTGAACACGCTTCAGGTGAGCACGATGCAGCCGAACATGCTTCAGGTGAGCACACTGCAGTCAAACATGCTTCAAGTGAGCACGCTGCAGTCAAACATGCTTCAAGTGAGCATGCTGCAGGTGGGCATGCTGCAGGTGAACACGCTTCCAGTGAACAACCTTCTGGTGAACAGCCTTCAGGTGAAAAGACTTCTGGTGAACAACCTGCAGGTGGACAGCCTTCAGGCATCCCGCCTTCAAGCACAATTTCAGGTGAGCCACATTTGGATGGGTGCCCATCCTTGACTTCAGGTGGGAAGTAGGTAACACATACAGAAAACCAATTTTAAGGAGTTTAGAAGAAAGAATAGTTCATACACTTCACAAACAGCTCTCCCAAAGAGAGCTGTTTACATTTTACATCTCTTTACAATAATCCCAGGTGGCAAGATCCAGGTTTTGTGGGGCCCTTTGGAGGTTAAACTGTTCAGAGGGCCCTCTTTAATAAAAACAAAACAAATATAAAAGTACCAGCAGTCTTTCCAACTTCACTCTATGTAAGAAATTGTGAATACAGATGCCCACAGCTCCCCTGGAAGGGGCTCACGGAAGAAAACTTTGGTGAGCTTCATGCTAAATCTGCCTCTTAACAAACCATGTCAAAATGCTTTGCTAACCCTCTAAAGAGATGTCTAGCAGTGGAGCTGGTAGATCTTGGTTTTCATGTTTGAACACGGTGTCGATGGAAATAATAAACAATCAATAATAATAATAGAAAAGAGTTTTATTTGAGCCAAAGTGAGGACTATAGCCCAGAAGCCAGCTTCCCAGATTACTCTGAGGAACTGCTCTGGAGGAGCAGAGTTTTCAGCACAGTTCTATATCTTGTCAGAACAAAGAACATTAGACGTCAGGGATACATTTCTTCAAGGTTAAAAACAAACAAACAAACAAAAAAGACCAGCACATACATGTACAGTATGGCCTTGGCACCTGGGAAGGGAGTTTCATCATCAATGGAGTACTGGAACTGGCGTCCCATGAAGAGGGTTATTTAATCTTTATTTTTAACATGGACATTTTTTACTTCTGGTTAATGTGACCTTTTCTTTAATAATTAAAGCAGTTGTTCAATAGGCCACAGAGAGGCTGTTTCAGTTAGCATAAAATTCAAATTAACTAATGTATAAGCCAGAATGACTTCTCCATACCTCACTCAATATGTGAACATTTCTTTCATCAATGGAAAGTAAAGCATGCTGACACTTTTGTCTGTTAGATCCAGAAATAAGTTCCCAGGACAACTGCAGTTCTTTGGCTCTTACTCAAAAGGGGTTCTTCAAGGAAGGAAAGCAAGATCCAAGGTTTAATGTCTCAAGTTATTACCAGACATAGACACTTTATATTTCACCCTATTACATAAGTAGCAGTATTCCAAATTTTGAGACGAGAGAAGTTACATCATCCAGCTAGAAAGTATCAAACCTTGGATTCAAACTTAAGTCTGACTCCAAAGCCCATATTCTTTCCACTTTATGCTTCCTTGATTAGGGAACTGGCAGTGGAGGTAGAGAGGCAATACGGAATCGTTTCAAATAGACTGCGCTTTGTGACAAACTGACCTGACTGAAGCTCACTTTGAGAATAGAGAATTGATGTAATGTTTGCAACATTACAGCATTCTGACACAGTTTACTAATCAGTCAGATTTCACTGCAAGTATTTGTGCCTTGTGATAAGTGAGAGTATGATGGGGGGTAGGAAAGGGAGCCAGTCACATGAGGAGTTCTATTGCTCCTATTGAGTTAGACACGGCAGAAGGGCATCTAATGATAAATGTCCGGGAAGCCACTGGGTGATGAATTAGAATAAAAGTCAGTACTAGAGAGATAAATGTGGGATTCATCAGCAATGAAAATCATAGATGAAGCAATAAGAATGAAGGCATTTCCTCTGGCACAGAAGAGAAAATATGCTCTTTCAGACACAGAGCCCTCACATCCCTAACAAGAACCAGGAAATGAAATGTGTTGTATCCACCTACTTGTTGCCCATCATCCCTCCCCAGATGTGTGACTCAAGGCTATACAATCTGTATCCTAAGGTTATTTCATCAGGCTGATCTTAAATTTTCAGGCCCAGTATTAAATTGCCACACATGCTCTTATATGAATGACCAAGGGAAATGTCTTCGAGGAGAGGGAGTCTGCTCCACTCAGAATTCCCAGCAGTGCATGTTAAAGAAGATCTTTAAAGGTATGTGGGGACTTTATGAGCCAGTCTTTGCCAGAGAACACATCAACCAGCTTGAGTACTGATGGGGAGGAGATAGGGTGGCAGGGGCCTGAGGAGGGAACAAGCTGTGATTCCCCAGAAACTTGGAGATCCAGGAGAACCTTATCCTTTCAAGAATCAAGAGCAGAATTCCAGCTATTGAGGGAGAGGCCCTTCCCAGCAGGCTTACTATGTCTTAAAAAGAGGCAGGGAGGGGCTTCCCTGGTGGCGCAGTGGTTGAGAGTCTGCCTGCCGATGCAGGGGACACGGGTTTGTGCCCCGGTCCGGGAGGATCCCACGTGCCGCGGAGCGACTGGGCCCGTGAGCCTGCACGTCCGGAGCCTGTGCTCCGCAACGGGAGAGGCCAGAACAGTGAGAGGCCCGCGTACCACAAAACAACAACAACAACAACAACAACAACAACAAAAGAGGCAGGGAGGTTGGCTGTCTCTTCCTATTAAAGAAATGTGTGGGTTGCCCCTTGAGCCATTGAGACATTGATAGTAAGCTCAGGAATGTGTCTATCTTGTTCATGGCTATATATTCCTAGCACTTAGCACAATGTCCAGCCCATGGTAGGCATTTAGTAAATATTGAATACATGAGTTAAGTAATAAACAGTTGTCCACCAGTCTGTGTTCACAGGTTGGCAGACCTGTATATGTGTCTTCCTACACCTCTCTACCCTTACACTCAGTCCTCATCCCCAAAATAAGGAAGGGATCTTGGTTACTTCCATCCCATGAACTTCCCTTGACTGCCTGACTTCCCTTGTGGTTTGTCTGGTCCCTCACTAGAAAGAGTGGGCAACTGATCAGGGGAAGGGCCCAGAAGCAGCAGATGGAAGGGAGGAGAGAAAGAATATACAAGTTGGAGGACTTGGTCGTGCCTACATAGGGACACTGGGAACCATAGATGAAAGCTAAGATTGGAGGAGGAAGCTTTCTGCTCATTACAGTCTGCCTCTGCTTCTTTCAGGTGGAAAACTTCAATTCATCGTCCAGGGCTGTGAAAACATGTGCCCATCCATGAACCCCTTATCCCATGGAACCAGGATGCAAATTATATACTGTCGGAATCAATCTTTCTGCAACAAGGTCTAGAAGCCTGTGCCCTTGCTTCCTGCTCTGAGTCAGGCAGCAAAAGTCCTCCATCACCCTACTGGACTCAATTTATATTTAGTTTCTTCCCCAGTCAAAAACTAATCACATCTTCCTCTGCCTGACTGTCAGACAGGAAGCTCAAATATCTTTCCTCTCCTATCCATGCCCTGTTACACATTCTTCTCTGGCCTCCAACTTCCCTATCCCCTTACCCCCTATCCCCTTACCCCATCTCTCAACATTCTTTTCTTTTTCAATAAATTCCACAAGATTAAAGAATATAGACTCCAGACAGAGTCTTTTCCCATCAACCAAGGGCAGGGTCACTCTGAGCTTCCTTCTGCTCCACACAATAAAGTAGATCCATTTCTTTCTTTCTTTTTTTTTTTCTTTTTTTAAATTTTATTTTATTTAGTTTTTTATACAGCAGGTTCTTATTAGTCATCCATTTTATACACATCAGTATATATAGGTCAATCCCAATCTCCAATTCATGACACCACCACCACCCCCACCTCTTTCCCTTTTCCTTTGGTGTCCATATGTTTGTTCCCTACATCTGTGTCTCAATTTCTGCCCTGCAAACTGGTTCATCTGTACCATTTTTTAGGTTCCACATATATTCATTAATATACGATATTTGTTCTTCTCTTTCTGACTTACTCACTCTGTATCACAGTCTCTAGATCCAGCCACATCTCAACAAATGACCCAATTTCGTTCCTTTTTATGCCCGAATAATATTGCATTGTTTATATCCACCACATCTTTATCCATTGATCTGTCAATGAGTATTTAGGTTGCTTCCATGACCTGGCTATTGTAAACAGTGTTGCAATGAACATTGGGGTGCATGTGTCTTTTTGAATTATGGTTTTCTCTGGGTATATGCCCAGTAGTGGGATTGCTGGATCATAAGGTAATTCTATTTTTAGTTTTTTAAGGAACCTCCATACTGCTCTCCATAGTGGCTGTATCAATTTACATTCCCACCAACAGTGCAAGAGGGTTCCCTTTTCTCCACACCCTCTCCAGCATTTGCTGTTTGTAGATTTTCTGATGATGCCCATTCTAACAGGTGTGAGGTGATACCTCATTGTAGTTTTGATTTGAATTTCTCTAATAATTAGTGATGTTGAGCAGCTTTTCATGTGCTTCTTGGCCATCTGTATGTCTTCTTTGGAGAAATGTCTATTTATTCTTCTGCCCATTTTTGAATTGGGTTGCTTGTTTTTTTAATATTGAGCTGCATGAGCTGTTTATATATTTTGGAGATGAATCCTTTGTCCGTTGATTCATTTGCAAATATTTTCTCCCATTCTGATGGTTGTCTTTTTGTCTTATGAATTCCTTTGCTGTGCAAAAGCTTTTAAGTTTCATTAGGTCCCATTTGTTTATTTTCGTTTTTATTTCCATTACTCTAGAAGGTGGATCAAAAGAGATCTTGCTGAGACATATCAAAGAGTATTCTTCCTATGTTTTCCTCTAAGAGTTTTATAGTGTCCGGGCTTACATTTAGGTCTCTAATGCATTTTGAGTTTATTTTTGTGTATGGTGTTATGGAGAGTTCTAATTTCATTCTTTTACATGTAGCTGTCCAGATTTCCCAGCACCACTTATTGAAGAGACTGTGTTTTCTCCATTGTATATCCTTGCCTCCTTTGTCATAGATTAGTTGACTATAGGTGTGTGGGTTTATCTCTGGGCTTTCTAACTTCTTCCATTGATCTATGTTTCTGTTTATGTGCCAGTACCATATTGTCTTGATTACTGTAACTTTGTAGTATAGTCTGAAGTCAGGGAGTCTGATTCCTCTAGCTCCGTTTTTTTCCCTCAAGACTGCATTGGCTATTTGGGGTGTTTTGAGTCTCCGTACAAATTTTAAGATTTTTTGTTCTAGTTCCGTAACAAATGCCATTGGTAATTTGATAGGGATTGCATTGAATCTGTAGATTGCTTTGGGTAGTATAGTCATTTTCACAATATTGATTCTTCCAATCCAAGAACATGGTATATCTCTCCATCTGTTGGTATCCTCTTTAATTTCTTTCATCAGTGTCTTATAGTTTTCTGCATACCGGTCTTTTGTCTCCTTAGGTAGGTTTATTCCTAGGTATTTTATTCTTTTTGTTGCAATGGTAAATGGGAGTGTTTCCTTAATTTCTCTTTCAGAATTTACAGCATTAGTGTATAGGAATGCAAGAGATTTCTGTGCATTAATTTTGTTTCCTGCAACTTTACCACATTCATTGATTAGCTCTAGTAGTTTGCTGGTGGCATCTTTAGATTTCTCTATGTATAGTATCATGTCATCTGAAAACACTGACAGTTTTACTTCTTCTTTTCCAATTTGTATTCCTTTCATTACTTTTTCTTCTCTGATTGCTGTGGCTAGGACTTCCAAAACTATGTTGCATAATAGTGGCGAGAGTGGACATCCTTGTCTTCTTCCTGATCTTAGAGGAAATGCTTTCAGTTTTTCACCATTGAGAATGATGTTTGCTGTGGGTTTGTTGAATATGGCCTTTATTATGTTGAGTTAGGTTCCCTCTATGCCCACTTTCTGGAGAGTTTTTATCATAAATGGGTGTTGAATTTTGGCAAAAGCTTTTTGCTGCATCTATTGAGATGATCATATGGTTTTTATTCTTCAATTTGTTAATATGGTGTATCACATTGATTGATTTGTGTATATTTAAGAATCCTTGCATCCCTGGGATAAATCCCACTTGATCACGGTGTATAATCCTTTTATACACCATGTTGTTGGATTCTGTTTGCTAGTATTTTGTTTAGGATTTTTGCATCTATATTCATCAGTGATATTGGTTTGTAATTTTCTTTTTTTGTAGTATCTTTGTCTGGTTTTGGTATCAGGGTGATGGTGGCCTCATAGAATGAGTTTGGGAGTGTTCCTCCACAATTTTTTGGAGGAGTTTGAGAAGGATGGGTGTTAGCTCTTCTCTAAATATTTGATAGAATTCACCTGTGAAGCCATCTGGACCAGGATTTTTTTTTGTTGGAGGATTTTTTTTTTTTCGGTACACGGCCTCTCACTGTTGTGGCCTCTCCCATTGCGGAATACAGGCTCCGGACTCACAGGCTCAGTGGTCATGGCTCACGGGCCCAGCCGCTCCGCGGCATGTGGGATCTTCCCGGATCGGGGCACAAACCCGTGTCCCCTGCATCGGCAGGCAGACTCTCAACCACTGCGCCACCAGGGAAGCCCTTGTTGGAAGATTTTTAATCACAGTTTGAATTTCATTACTTGAGATTGGTCTGTTCATATTGTCTATTTCTTCCTGGTTCAGTCTTGGAAAGTTATACCTTTCTAAGAATTTGTCCATTTCTTCCAGTTTGTCCATTTTATTGGCATAGAGTTGCTTATAGTAGTCTCTGAGGATGCTTTGTATTTCTACGATGTCTGTTGTAATTTCTCCTTTTTCATTTTAAATTTTATTGATTTGATACCTCTCCCTCTTTTTCTTGATGAGTCAGGCTAGTGCTTTATCAATTTTGTTTATCTTCTCAAAGAACCAGCTTTTAGTTTTATTGATCTTTGCTATTGTTTTCTTTGTTTCTATTTCATTTATTTCTGCTCTGATCTTTATGATTTCTTCCCTTCTGCCAACTTTGAGTTTTGTTTGTTCTTCTTTCTCTAGTTCCTTTAGGTGTAACGTTAGATTGTTTATATGAGATTTTTCTTGTTTCTTGAGGTAGGCTTGTATAGCTACAAACTTCCCTCTTAGAACTGCCTTTGCTGCATCTCATAGGTTTTGAATCATCGTGTTTTCATTGTCATTTGTCTCTAGGTATTTTTTGATTTCCTCTTTGACTTCTTCAGTAATCTCTTGGAAATTTAGTAAAGTATTTTTTAGCTCCCATGTGTTTGTGTTTTTTATGGTTTTTTCCCTGTAATTGATTTCTAATCTCATAGCGTTGTGGTCAGAAAAGATGCTTGATATTATTTCAATCTTCTTAAATTTGCTGAGGCTTGATTTGTGACCCAAGATGTGATCTATTCTGGAGAATGTTCCATGCACACTTGAGAAGAAAGTGTAATCTGCTGTTTTTGGATGGAATGTCCTATAAATATCAATTAAAACTATCTGGTCTCTTGTGTCATTTAAAGCTTGTGTTTCCTTATTTATTTTCATTTTGGATGATCTGTTCATTGGTGTAAGTGAGGTGTTAAAGTCCCCCACTATTACTGTGTTACTGTCGATTTCCTCTTTTACAGCTGTTAGTATTGCCTTATGTATTGAGGTGCTCCTATGTTGGGTGCATATATATTTATAATTGTTATATCTTCTTCTTGAATAGATTCATTGATCATTATGTAGTGTCCTTCCTTGTCTCTTGTAACATTCTTTATTTTAAAGTCTAGTTTATCTGATATGGGTATTGCTACTCCAGCTTTCTTTCGATTTCCATTTGCATGGCATATCTTTTTCCATCCCCTCACTTTCAGTCTGTATGTGTACCTAGGTCTGAGTGGGTCTCTTGTAGACAGCATATATATGGGTCTTGTTTTTGTATCCATTCAGCGAGCCTGTGTCTTTTGGTTGGAGCAATTAGTCCTTTCACGTTTAAGGTAATTATTGATATGTATGTTCCTATTACCATTTTCTTAATTGTTTTGGGTTTGTTTGTGTAGGTTCTTTTCTTCTCTTGTGTTTCCCACTTAGAGAAGTTCCATTAGCATTTGTTGTAGAGCTGATTTCGTGGTGCTGAATTCTCTTAGCTTTTGCTTGTCTGCGAAGCTTTTGATTTCTCCATCAAATCTGAATGAGATCCTTGCTGGGTAGTGTAATCTTGGTTGTAGATTCTTCCCTTTCATCACTTTAAGTATATCATGCCACTCCCTTCTGGCTTGTCGAGTTTCTGCTGAGAAATCAGCTGTTCACCTTATGGGAGTTCCCTTGTATGTTTTTTGTCATTTTTCCCTTGCTGCTTTCAATAATTTTTCTTTGTCTTTAATTTTTGCCAATTTGATTACT